AGTCTCTTTTGCTGGTACCAAGTGATGAGTGTGAAAAAAAAAAAGAAGATGAAGAAGAAAAGCAATGAACTAAATGAATGAAAACACTATACGAGCTGTGTTCCATTACCCAATCCTATTATGAGCACCAGTCTAGCAGTAACAGGAAGTTGTCCTTTTTGCCTGTAAGTTAAGCCATTGGAGTACGATTTGTACAGCGAGTCTAGATTTCTTCTAGGCATAAGACACATAATCTAAATTGAAATGGAAATCTTTTTTTCTAATCTAAAATGAAAATGAAAACTGAAACAGAACTCAAGAGCCTAATGCTGGCGCCCCATCATCCTGCTCTGGCGCCTGATGCTGGTGAAGCTCCACGCAGCAGCACCCTGCCCTGCCTCTTGTTTGCTGTTAGGTGCCCAGGTCTAAAAATATCTGTGGAATGAATGACTGCATCAGGACCCGGATGGTTTGGTCTATCACCTATTATGTGATCTTGATAAATTTCCTAATGTCAAATTCTCAATTTCTCCATTATCCAGCATTTTCACCCAACCCTGCAAATCACTCAGAGGAATGTCATAAATGTTAATCCCAAGATAAGGGAATTCTACTGGACCCGGGATGTATCTTGGAGCACCGCTGGCACTGTGTTCAGTAAGTGGGAACTCTTTCTTTTGAATTGGATGTACTCTGGCTGCCACCTCACCCTGACAGCGGAGCTGGCTTTTATGTGTGTCAGTAGTGAAGATAATAATATCTTCTGAATTTCCACCTCTGTAAAGTGAGGAGTAGGGGCAAGTTCATCTTTGAGGAAGGCCTTTTGTAACTAACTCTATCATTTTGTTCCATTCCACTTTCTGGAACTGGTCTCAGAACAAAATGTGAGAGAAATTATACTGTACTGTGAGCATACAAAATGACAGTGATATTGCATTTCTTTAAATGTGTAACATCCTTTTCTGTTTCCTCTGCTTTTAACTGTCTAGAGTAGTTTAAGGGTTCCTTTTACAGAATGAGCTCATGAAATTTTATTCAAAGCAAGTTTGAAAAGCCACAGGACACCAACCAATTCTCATTTAAATGTTTACTTTAGAATTCTGAATGACATGGCCCATTCAGATGAAAAACAAGTACTAATAAAAAATGCTTTGAAACTTTTATTTAAAAACCCTAAAATATATATTCTATGACTCAGCTTCCAAAGTATGGGTGTTTATGAACCACCCGAGTTCCAAATAATTGAAAAAGTGGCCCAGGAGCATTAAAGGGAGAATAAATAAAAAGGAGCACAAAGAGAAACATATTTCAAACCTATTGATTGATAGCCTTTCATTCTTTTAACAAACATTCCATTACTACCTCGTGTGTGACAGAAACTATGGTAGGAGATTTGGATCAAATCCTCTATGTCCCAGGCTCCTTGTGTATGCACAAAAGCAACTCTGGGTCCAGTGCCTTGGAGTTGAGTCTTGGCCTCTGCCCCTAGCCAGATGATGGATGACCTGGGGCAAGTCACTTTTAGTTTTGGGGTAAAGATACGACCTTTGGCATTAATGCTGTTTGGTTTTAAATTTCTCTCTCTCAAATACAATGATAGTATGTAACTAAAGGAAAGTGTGTAGGTTAAAAAACACACACACAAAGTAAGTCATTCTAGAAATTCTATCACAAAATTCATTTGTTAAAGAACAAAACACACACATTAAATTTTCACAAAAGAGAATAACATTATAAATCTATGTATTTTCTCATCCTCTATTTTAATTTAGGAAATGTTTATATAACGCCCTCTCTGTTCCAGAAATGGTGTTGGGTGTTTGAGATCAGAGATGAAACATTCTCTGCCTTAGGAAAAGCTCACGATTTAGTAATGGTGCTAGAGAAGGAGATATGAGTGCTATTCATAATCAACAAATATTCGTTGAGTACCCATTATACTTGGGATACATCGGCGAACAAAACTGATAATGATCCTTTTTCATGGAGTTTATATTCAAGCATGAACATCAAATCAGAAAGAATAAACATGAAAATAATAAATGATATGATATTAAAAAAGAAGCAAAAAATTGTGGTGTTAAAAAAAAAAGTAGAGCAGGTTAAAGGGTAATGGAGCACCTGTGGTGGGGTTGGTACAGTACATCATAGTTTTAAGAAGGTTTCCAGGTGGGCCTCATTGGAAGCTAACATTTATGGAGAGGCTTGAAGGGAGTAAGGGAATTAGTTAGCCATAGGAGGTATCTGGAGAAAGACATTAGGAGCAGAGAACTGTCAGTGAAAAATCCCTACGTTTGGAAACAAGGGTGCTGGAATGAAATGAGAATGAGGGCGAGTAAAAGGAGATGACAGAAGAGCAGTAAGAGTCAGCGAGGGGTCAGATCAGGTGGGGCCTTGTAGGACATTTTAATGTGCATATTTAGCAATTTTAGCATCTTGGTATCTTCCTAAAGTAATGCATTTTTTTTTTTTGGTCCAATCCTCATATTTACCTGGTGGCCAAACTAAATTCCCTCTCCTTTCTGTAGTTTAAATCTGTTTTTATTTTTTTATTGACTAGAGGCCTGGTGCATGAAAATTTGTACACTTGGGGTTGGGGGTCCCTCAGCCCAGCCTGCACCTTCTCACAAACCGGGAGCCCTTGGGGGATGTCTGATAGTCTGGTCTCCCTCGTGGGAGATGACCTGTGGGCCAATCAGAGGATGGCACCACTGGCCCTGCCTTCCAATTGCCCCTCTGCCACCGCTGGTCACCTCAGTCCCCCTCCCTCTGCCTGCTGGCCCTGGCCTTGGATGGCCAGCCATTCCCTATGCCGACTGGTTGTTCCCCCATCTGGTTGATTTGCATATTAGGCTTTTATTATATAGGATTTGAGAAACCTTGGAGTATTGTTGGGATGCTGCTCTAACCAACTGAGCTACCCAGTCAGGGCTTAAATCTGTTTTCCACCCTTCTACTCTCTTCTGAGTTGGAGAATGACTGGTAATGCCAGACAAATTGAGAAAATGGAAATACCACTTCCTGGTCAGGTCTACACGGCAAGCCAAATTGTAGAATCAAAGTCAGTTATTGAACAAAGCAGACCAAAATGAAAAAACAAATACACAAAACCAACTTCAAAAAATCCAAATAATGGCTTTACTTCTCTATTTTCTTTGGCATTTTATACTCAAATAGTCAAGGAATGAAGAGAAATATTTTGGTTACATAAAACACCTTCAGAGGGCTCCCTGAAATTTAAGAGTTCCATTTCTCTGAGCTTTTTGATGAGTAGATATATTTGCATGCTCAGGAGTAAGGAATGAACTAGAATAACAAAATTAATGGATGCACATGGTGAATAAAGATAAGTGATTACTCCAAGGTAGTCTGAAAGAGAGAGAAGGATGCTTATCTTATTCATCCTTAAGAATTAAGTGCATTGTAGATGTGATTTATAGATACCCGAGAATTCATTTATATTTAGGGTAAAGCTATTCTTTTTTTACTGACTCTGTGGTTCATTCTTGTTTTCCGGAGATGTCAGTGGGAACTTACCTGTTAATTCTGAGATAAAAACAAATGTGGGAATACAGAGCACAGAAAAGTTTTCATCTTCACCACCTACAAAAGTCATTCTAATGTTAAGAGATGACATTTGCCAGATGGGTAGGAAGGAATATTGACGTAATTGATTTCTGCTACTTTTGGCTCCCTGTGGGTAAAATGAAGAAAAGGTGTGCAAGAATGAAGGCTGGTCATTTTTGTAATTGTTTTTCAAGTCTGGTTTAGGGGTTAGAATTCTAAAATAGAAAATAATAGTCATAGGATCCTCTCTTCGTATTACCAGTGATTTTTCAGACCAATTGACTTCTGAGTGATCACCTATGAGGGAGATCTGAGGACTGCCTCTTGCTCCAGTGATGGTATGATTTGAGTGTTATACACGTTCCTGTCTTAAATGATAAATTAATTGGAACAGACTGTGCAGACTGGAGTGATACCTCAGTGCCATGGGACATTATTAGCAATTTAGGCAAATTGGAAGCATTTTTATCACTTTAATATTTTTTGACATAAAAATCTTTTGTGCCCACTAATATTACGTACCATTTAATCATTTAGAATTAAGTTAAAGTCCCCAGAACCAGTGTTTTAATGCGCTAATATTACTTGCATCTTAGTAGAGAATGGTACAGTAAAGATGGTACAGCTTCTTATATGTTAGTTATGCATAAAAATGTGATGTTATATTTAGAAATATTTAGATCACATTTAGAAGTAAACAGAGAGGCAGCCAAACCCAATTTAAACACACTTTTACATGTTCACTACTGTGTCAGAATGACCTCCATCAGTCTTCAATTTGCCTATCCTCAGGCTCCCAGGGAAAAAAAGTTCCCTTTCATAACATAATTTAAGAAAATTTACAACTATGAATGCCGATATGGAAATGTTTCTATATAGCAGAAGAAATAACCTCAAATGCCCGGACATCTCCATGGTCTGAGTATCTTTCCCTCTGCTGCCCCCTCAGCACCCCACCCCCCCACCCCAATTTGACTCTGGGAAAAGAGTGTATGTTTTTCTCTCACCTACAGTGAAAGTTATGAGATTCTTTTGCTCAAATTAGCCACAAGGAAGCCTTGGAAGTTCATGTTCCTTAGAGAGCTGTCAGTTCTGCTAAGGAAGATTAAATGCCCCGATCCCCGTTGTCACATTGTACAGGGAACAACAAGGAAGAGTGAATGTAGCATAGCCCACATCCGGCAGCTGCCACAGTCAGCCCTGCCTAGGGGGCCTTTCCGTGTCATACAGGGGACCAGCCGAGACATTCACTGAAAAAAAAAAAAAAAAGAAAAAGAAAAAGAAAAAAAGAAAGAAAAAACATCAAAGAGCCATCGTATTGCATCAGGGAATGTCTGCTGAACAGGCTAAACCCTTTCTGTGGCTGGGAAACCATTTCTGGGTCGAGGTATTTGCTTCCTGTTGGATATCCCCTGCTTGCACCCTAGAAGAGGAGCCCAGGCCCCTTTGCTTACCCGTGAAGTTGATTTTCAGCAAATAATCCTTGTACAGCTTCTTCCCGTCCAGGACCTTCATAGCGTCGCACAGCTTGGTGGTGTTGGGGCAGAGGGTGCGCTGCATCTTGTGCAGGGCGTGGGCCATGGCGTAGACCGCGTTCACCACGAACATGATCTTGGACTCCTGCTCGTAGTTGCTGCTGTCCAGGGCCAGGTGCTTGTCGCAGGGGTGCGGGTGGTGGTTGCGCTTGCCCTGCAGGCTGCACTGGAACTTCTGCTCCCAGAAGTCGCGGAACCAGGGGTTGCGGTGGTTGGTGTAGGGGCTGAGGCCCTGGAAATAGCGGTCGAACTGGCGGACGCGCTGCGAGGCCAGCTCCAGGGTGATGGCCCCGTCGGCCACGTGCTCGCTGCCCTTGACGATGCTCTCCTGCGCGCCCCAGCCGTCGCTGGCCACCCAGGTGAAGGAGGCGTTGGCACGGCTGGCGGCAGCGATCAGCTCGCGGGAGTCATCCCCGCGCATGAAGAGGACCACGACGCGCGCGTTGGGCTTCTGCAGCAGCTCGCGGACCACGCTGTCGTAGGACTTGCGGATGTTGGAGCGGCCCACCTTCTCGGCCGTGGCGATGCAGATGTTGCGCAGGCGGGCCTCCTGCTCGAAGGCCTCGATGCCCGTCTCGCCGTAGTCGCCCTCCGAGGCCACGGTGGACACGTAGGTCCAGTTGAAGAAGCGCAGGATCTCGGCCATGGCCTTGGCCTGGTAGAAGTCCGGGGGCACGGTCCTGGCGAAGTAGTCGTAGCGGGACTTGTCGCTGAGCTTGGCGCTGGTGGAGGCGTAGCTGATCTGCGGGATCTGGAAGAGCCTGAGCAGGTTTGCCACCTGGAGGAGGGAGCAAGGGGAGGGGAGCGCGTGAGTTAGAAAACCCCGGGCACAGAAAAGGCACAGAGGACCAGACTGTTGGCCCAGCGCCTTTGTCACCTCCAGAACACTCGACTCTTCTGGATGCGTGGCCAGAGCTTTTCTGGATACTATATGTTGGAGAGGAGGGAGCGGGTTCCAGGCAGGTGGTTTATGGACTGGGAAAGGACGTGGTAGAACAATGAGGGTTCCCTGCTCCTCTCCTTCCCAACGTTAGGCTAGATCCCGGGCTAGGATTGCTCTTGTTCAGGTGTCCTCGGCGGCGTGTTTGTTTGAACTGTGTGGGGTTCTCTGAAAACTCGGCCAAACAATGAGCTACAGGGAACCGGCCAAGTTCAGTTTTTAGACAGTTTGACTGCAGCCTGGATGTTGTCGAATTCTCACTTCCCCCTCTTTTGCTAAAACCGGCAGCTTCTGAAAGAGCTTAATTTGGGAACAGTATGCCACATGGACAGTTCAAATGAGACATTTATTATGTAGGTTAAGTTAAAAAAAAAAATCAATTCTATTTGGTCCACCCCAAATTTCAGGCATATACTTTTCTAAACTTCTGAAGAACTTGACCAGTATTTTCTTTTAAAACATTTCTTTCTGTTTGAACAGTGTGAAAGGAAAGCATACAAATGTTGTCATTATTGTATTTTAGATTATAAAGTAAATACAGAAACATTGAGGATCTTGCCAAGAAAGAACCATCTCTTTCAAAATGTTTAAAACGTATTCTGAATGAAGTGCTTACATTTCTTATCATGCACCTAACAATAATGTTTCTCTATTTTTATTTATCACAGAATCAAATATATATATATAAAATCTCAAATATATATAATGTTTTTATTTTTCATGGCTACCACACATATTCTGAACACGTCTATCTCTATACTATAGTCAAATCACAGAATCTACAAAGTGGAGTTTAATCAGAAAACACATTAAATATTCCTATATACTTTATAGAGTGTTTTCAAATTTTCCTTCTAGAAATTATGGTTTCGGGTTGATATTTGAATGTAAGAAGCACAGCTTGAAATAGGCAGCTGTTAGCAAAAAGCACAAATCATGTGAAACAACGGACCTCTGAGTCCTACTTAATCATCTGAGTCCTGGCGGGTTCACACACAACCACACAGCAGGTTCTTGGAGATCTGGACTGCTATACAACTAATACTTCCAATAGAGCCTGGAGCTACCAAAAATGTTTTCTATATATTTTTTCAAATCTTTGTTCCTTTTACTTCATTACAAATAGATCAGTTAGAATATCTGGTTCTTAGCATGCTGTATATTGCAAATTTAAGAATCAACTATTTCTTACATTTTTTTTTTTTTTTTTTTTTTTTTTTTGCACTTGGTAAAGACTTTAAAAAACATTTTAGGAGATGAGTGCAATTTGGGGAATAGAAGTCAGTGGATGGGTGGGTGGATGAAGACTAGTATATCATTTATTTCTTCCTGCCTCAGGATCAGGAAACCCTGGCCTATAGGGATTCATTTAGACATAGGAACAAGGCTTGTTTTCGTATTCTGATTGAGATAGCACTGAGCCAGAACTTTCAATCCTTCTCTACTGAGTACCTGGCTTCCTTTGGGCTTGCTAATATGTACTGCTGTGGCAGACTGCGGGGAGAGTCTCTGCAGAGGCTTTGCTTGATTATGGAGTTCCTGGTCAGCACTGGTGAGGCCATCTTGTTTGGATGCTACAGTTTCTCATCTTCAAGTTATAGTCATCAGGACTTGGACCACTCAGGGAGGCAAAGAATGAAAGCACCAGAAAAATGTCCAGAGACATTGTCTGGCAACTAGTTACCACAGTGAAAGGATCCTGAACTGCTGAAACTGTTCTCCCAAAATGAGAAGCTGCCTAAGAAAATAGCTCATGTCTTTTGGCTGATAGGATCCTGTGGCTTCGTGTCTACCTCTCCAGGATATTTGAGAGCATTTTACAACCAAGGCAGACTGTACACGAGAATGAACTAGGCCTGCAATACTGGCAATATGATGAAGATTCTCTACATGGGGAAGGGGCACAATGAGCTGTAGTAGCATTTTGGGAGGGTGGTGGATTAGGATAAAAATGTAGTTGTTGCTATCATTTTAAAAAGAGTCAGTCTCTCTCTCTCTCTCTCTCTCTCTCTCTCTCTCTCTCTCTCTCTCTCTCTCTCTCCTACCACCTATTATAGGCAAAGAAGGCATGTTCAGTGAGCTGAAACATGAGAAAGGAACACTAATAAGGACATAGCATAATCTCAATTGTATCACCTATATTGAATCATAGAGCAAAGTGTTCAATTATTTTTATCATGGTGAGCTGTTCCTTTTAAAATGAAGTTCCTTGGATTATAAGAGTAAAAATACTTAATGTAAAAAGTAATCATCACAGAAGTCATCAGATTATAACCCCCCCCCCACTCACCTTAACTTAATTTCTAGAGAGTTTATGGTTTAGATTATGCATTTTAAAAACATTTATTCTATCGTAAAACCACAATGTGTGTGTGTGTGTGTGTGTGTGTGTGTGTGTGTGTGTGTTCTCCCTTAATACTCACAATGGCCTTTTATGATAGATTAAAAAGTGGGGCAAAATCAGGATTTAGAAGCAGATCTTTTCACTTTAAGTATATTGGTCATTCTCTCATAACTTCATTTCTATCCTCTCCTGTGTGACTAAGAATCTGAAGTCTGAAGCTCAGAAAGACACTGAAGTTGGAAGAACAGGAGAGAGGAACCAAAGCAATATGGTATGCACAAGGAACTGTCTGTTTTCTATGAGCAGAAACTTTCTTTTTAGCATAAAACTTAAAACTAGAGTTGGGGAATGTTCAGATAGTTGACAGCTGGATGTTTTTTGTCTGGGCATCTGAAATATTCTTGAATTGCTGTACTTGCCATATGGTTTCTCCAAGAAAAAGGGAGAATAAGGGGAACTCCTACACTGGACATAATTTTAAAAATAAAAACAATTTTAGGATGGGGAAGTAATGTGAAATTTTGGGAGAAAGTCACGCAATTAGATTACTAGTAGGAGTGGAGGAAGAAAACACATGGTCTAGGTATATATGCTTCAGAAAAAAAATGCTCTGAGTGTAGAGATACATTGCTTATAGATAGAATCTCTAAAAAGTTTAAAAGAAATAGGAAGACTTAAAAAATAATTTTGACACTACAGAGTAGTCTCAACATGACAGAAAAGACAAGATCTTTAAAGAAGGTGCACAGGAAAATTTGAGTGTTAAAAGAACTAATGACAAGAGTTGAACATTGTTGGTATGTTCAAACCTTGGGCATCTCCGTGGGCAACATAAAAGATTGGCAAAACCTATGATAACTAGGAAGACTGAGGCAAAATGTGAAAATGAAGCAAAGTGGTTTTTCTCATTGGTATTGTTTTGAGTTTAAATTATGTTTTAGATGAAGATATGGTGGGAAGAGAGAAACACTGGGTGGGGATGTTGGTTCTAGGTGAGTAAAAGAAAGACGCCTGCCTAACCCCTCTTGCTTCTTCATTTTCCTCAATAAGAATGTTTCCTAACCTGAAAATAGCAATACAATAATGTGAAAAAGTTATCTCACATCAAAGTAGGAAATAAGAGCAAAAGAAAACTCATATTCATAGTAATTGAGTTTGCCTCCAGTTCTGAAAGAAATCACATTGAATTATGTAATCAATAATCTTTGATAAATCAATAATGGGAGGACAGAGAGTGCAAATGGAGGAGCAAGGAACTGTAAGTCAAGAATAAATATAAATTAATGAGTATGACATACTTTAATAACTTTCTAAAATAGAGTTACTCAGAACTGAACAAGGCCTACCAAGAATAATCACAGGTTCACTAAGAGGCAATTCCACTAGAATCTTTTCAATGTTACTTGAACCATTCAGGGAAGAGTGGTAGCCTGGAGGATCACGACTTCCACAAGGTGTTGATGACATTATTTGGACTCTTGTGGAAAAGGAAAAGTGATAGGAATTAGATGACAAAGTTAAATATACTAAAAGAGAACAGCTTGGAAGAAAGTCTGTATGAGATGGTCAAGTAAGATTAAATTTATATCACTGACTTTGGAAAAAATAAAGTTCTTTACATTTTAGAGCTGGAAGAGCCATGACGATAATATAAGCCTTTTGCTTTATAGGAGAGGAAATTGAAGCTCACCGGGTGAAGTGACTTTCTAAAATTTACACAACCAACAAGTGGAAAAGCAAAAATTAAATCCAGTCTTTTGTTTTTTTCCAAAGCACTTGTCTCCCTCTCTGGCGATAGGTGATTATTACATAGGAAGAGCTACGTTTCTGGGTTTAAGTTAAAATTATAAAAGTGAAGAAAAGATAAAAACAAAAAAACTAGTAGAAAATGAGGTTACAGATGCAAAGTTAAGGGGGTCTAAAGTCAAAGGGGGATTATTAAGTAGTTTTCTCTCTTTAGATTCCAATTTAGATCCAACTGTTGTAGATGCATTATCTACGTTAACCCCATTACAATCATATGAAGTAGAAACTACAAATATCTCATTTTATTTAGGCTGAGCACCCAGAAATCTTCCTGAAGTGCACATATGTGGTAAAGAGGTAAAGATAGGATTTGATCCCAGGCATTTTAATACTATGCTCAACTTCCCACACTAATCCAATCAATTTTGTAATCCATGCTCTTAACCTCTGTCATACATGATTCCTTGCACTACAAAGTAGTGACATATTTCAAGTTGTAATATCCTTTTTTCTTTTTTATTTCTGAAGACATGAGCTCCTTGATTTGAGAACCATAAGCAATCATCCCTTCTTATTAAATATATACTTTTTCATTGTCAGTTTATACTTTATGGTGGCTTCATAAACATTTGTTTACTGAATGACCATATACAGAGATAACAAGAGTTATATAAGAATTCAGGGGAAATTTCAATGGGAAGGTTGAAATCTCCAAGTTATATATATCATAATCAGATTTGGCTTTATG